CAGAGCAACATCCAACACCGTCAAAGTATGACTGTCCTCATACAAGGCACTATGATGACCTCAAGTTATAGGATCAATTCCACTACTAAACGTTAGAGATTAACCACTTACACTCAGATAGTTATCTATGTGGAATCTCTTAGTGCGTCTCCAATGTTTTGTTCTATAACAAGACATCCACGTGTTCATTTAAATGTCACCACACTTTAGCTCGTGAGATCAGCTACTTACTTCACAAGTAAGAAATGTCACACGTGATGGTCTAACTGTATTAACGATATCCGTATCTCGTTATTACTTACGACCACGGTTTATTCAAAATCCAATCATACGTAATTTGTATCTCACAATCACAACTCCTTGTGATTAACAAATCACTTAAACTTGGATGTTCGGATTCTATTATTTAATATTATTTATCACAAAATTTATTTAAATAAATAATAGATCTTGCCAAAATTAAATGCATTAAGCATATTAAAAGCATTTATAATCTAAATCGATTGGATCTAGGGCATAACACTTACAACTATAACATATAGTCTGGACATGAATCTTCCAAGATTCAGTTAGAAGCCTTTCGAAAAATAATATGTTGCAGTGTTCTTGAGCATTGCTTCTTCGAAATCATTCTCATAATAATCCATTTGCCCCTTCCAATTTCACAAATACATCCAATACATTCTTCAGCAAAAAGCTTGATCAATTTTACTCACCTTCTTGCTCTTGATCGATCTGATTTGGAAAATTAATTCACTAAACAGAACAGCAAAGAGAAAGCGAAACAGTTGGAGCAATCACTGAAACATGCCGGAGATGTAACTGCATCCCTTACGTTTCCATTTAACTCTATGTATAGCTGAAAGAGAGTCCAAGCTACAACAATGTTTGTGAACTTAAAAGGTGACAGGAAAAAAGGGAACTAGTGGAAAAAATAAGCAATTGCTTCAAATTTGAAGGAATACAAATAAAAGTTACCCTATCTCGAAAGCATAATAGACCAACTTCTTTAAGAGCTGGAAGTGACGTCCTAGCAATAAAATACCTATCAAGAGAATGTAAGAACCTCAACAGCCACCAGACCATGATTTTATGGTTTGGCCATCTTTTCACGAGCTCTCTCAACACGAATTCATCGTGTTTCTCTCTCAGTGAAGGAATTACCTTGAAAAGAAAAAGAGTTACAGAATCAGTAAAGGTCAAAAATAATAAAGTAAAACTGTAAAAGGATGAAGAGCCAAAATATAAGGAAAAATTTGACCAGATCTCCGTGGGGAATTCCATGCGTTGCTTGGTCAACATCGCCTTCGAGACGAAATAGAGTAAATTCGTACGTAGTGTTCATTGAACTGAATTTCACAGTGATGCTACTGGATTTTTCAAGTTGCCAATATTAAGTCTTCACGGGAAAATAGTGGAGAAGTTTTAACTTTTATTTATATTTTCCAAATAGAGCAAAGTGTGTATATAAATAGGGGAATGGGAGGGTCATTGCTCTTGAGACACATGGAATCGTTTGATATGAGAGCAGAAGAAGATTGGAGGGATTGCAAGCATTTATATAGCATTAAGCAAAGCTTTTACACTTAATTCTCTATACTTACATTGCAAATTGGAGAGAAGGACCTTTGTAGAATTAATATATGATAGATGATACAACATAGCAACCTTTTCGTAGAATTTGTGTTCAATGATTATCAATCATTCTTTGTGAGTGGGATAATCAGTATCAATCAAAAGCTCACCATTTAGTAGAGTGAAGAGTAATCAACTTCCAAGAATGTGGAACGAAATAAGATGATCTAATAAATTCTAGGACAGCCACATAAGATCAGACACTCTCCCACCCAATATTATTTACCACTGGTGGATTTTTTTAGTCAAATTGACCTTGTAGAAGCAATATCCGTAATTGTTCCTTACAAGTTACAACACCGACAACAATAAGACAAAAATATAAGTTACAACAAGCACGGTCACCATAGAAGACCCAAAGATTCATGTGATATGAAGATACTAAAAAATAAATGAATAAATAAATAAAACATGAACATACAGGTTCATAAATACCACTCTGTCTAAGAAATAAACAGAGAGTCGACCTTACTGTTGATATAACATACTCTTTCAGATGACTCAGCGATACTTGTCATACAACTGCTGAGAGTAATCATGGGAACGCTTTCACGTGCACATGTTATAAATTGTCAGATTAAAGGAAAATAAGAATAAATGATATGGTCACGAGTGTCTACAAATCAAAAGGCTAAACTGGAGACATATAAAAAAAATACGTTTAGAGCATCATATAATCTTCTGAGCTGAACTGCGGCTCAGGCTGCCCTTCTAAAATGTTTTTCAGCTTTGTAATCCCTTTTCACATAAAGTCCCATCCTTGTTCTAAATCAATTATATTCCGCTGATTCATGGTCATTTTCTTTACCAGCCCAAGTTCAATTGGCAAACAAACCCTAATCCCTTCTAGAAGAAACTATAGCCTGCCAATAACACATAAATTGGTAAATTAATCAATAAAAAACATCAAAACGCTGTAAATGACTATAGCCAACCAGAATTCAACTAAGAAATAACACCACCCTAAAATGAAATCGAAGAACCAAGGGCATCATTCAACCACACCAAGTAATTATTATCTTTAGCCAATCTTTTGCCAATGCAGACAAGAAATGGGGCGCATCACCTGATCGTTTGTCAACTGATTCTACTATGAGTTAGATTGTAATCAAATATTTACATGCTAAAGTTTTTATTTTATTTTGTTTTTCCTGTTGTAAAAAAAAAGACCCGATTTCCCTAATAGTGACTATATGTTGTAGGTGATTCTGGAGTAGAATACTCTTTAAAGTACAAAACTGATCAAGGAAGAGTTCTTGAGCGTACGACATCAGCAGATACTCTTCCGTACCGATGAATAGTAACAGATGGAATCTGTTTCGTGAAGATGGTATTTTTTGGCTTATTTTTCGGGCCCTGCTACTTGGACAGGGACCTGTCCAAACAGGGGGCGATGTGGCACCCTCTATTGGCATGTTGTCTGTGTTCCCGTTTAAGAAGAATTACTCTATTTTTCGTTGAACTTCTATTTTACGTTGAACTTTTAAGCAGGACTGTATCTCCGCTGAAGTTAACAACCATCTATTCTGGGAAGTTTCCTGATGTATAGTATAATAGAGGAATTCCCAGTACTTTTTTCATAAATTAGTTAGGATCCCATAATTGCAAGTACTACTTGATGTCAAATTTCTGTATTGCTATTATAGCCTTGACTTAGTTCTCCGTTATCTTCTTCAAAATTACCAATTTTAAGTATCCCATAAAAAAAAAAAAAAAAAAAAACTACCTCTCTTCTCTTACAAAAGATACCTTGCACCCGATTAGCCATTAAAAATATAAAAAAAANGCATTCACTATCAAGCTAAGCCAAAAGTAATATCAACAAGCTACCATATAACAAGATAAATTAAAATCACAAATCATATCAAACTCTTACCATTGAAATCAACAAAGACACGCATGCATAAGGAAGTAACACAATAATAAGAGCCTCCAATTTCACAAAAAGTTTAACATTAAACAATAGAAATATCTGTTTATAGAATCACTGAAAAACCTTCAGTAAGAAAACTCTGTTAATTGATACAATCAATCATGCAAAACAAAAGACTATGTTCAATTTTAAAATCTCATTGGTTGATAGTCAATTTAATATCTTAGGGAGTAAGGTCTACAAATTAGAATGCCCATCCATTATTGAAAACTAAAATCATTTGAATCTCGATAGTTTATCTAAGAAACCCAGAAGAACACAGATAAAGAAATTTGACCTTTCAAACAATCACCGTATTTATTACTTAATATACTAATGATTCAAAATTTACTCACCAAGCTACATGAAACAGATTTTTGAAATTCCGAAGAAATTTTAATGCTAATTAGCTAAGTGACATACTGATACACACACAAAAACATGTATATTATTAAATTAATCAGTATCTTTTGTCATAACATCACATATAATAGAACAAAAAAAATCATCTGCATAAGCTCCTACAACTAAAGAAATCCAACGGAAAGTATTCAACGATAAAACCCCTATGGGGTTTTTAAAGTACCGGTTTCAGGTACATGTGAGGGGTCTGATTTTGGGTGGGTTTTAGTTCGGCTTGTAAAACATTCCGACTCATACTTGAGTTTATTATACAACGGTTCTAAAAATACATGCATAAAAAAATTAGATATGTGTAAACAATACGAAGTAAATGTGTATCTTTCTCCGTACAATTCAATATGATTTTACATAGTTTACCCAATCATTTAATATTGTGTATGGAGTAACCTATGGACTTATTATTGTAGCTTTGAATATAATTATACTATTTGTACACGGACGTTGACATGCCGGTGTACACTCCTCTTACAAAGGAGGACTACAACGCCCAGCGTGGGCTCTCCCTCTTATGAGGGAAGTGTACACGGGCATGTTAACGTCCACATACGTATAGCAAGACCGCTTTGAATAAGCTCTTACATGACAATCATTTTCTATTGGATTATAAGATGAAGTAAAACAAATATATTATTTGAAAAGGAATTCTCTTCTTTTTGTATAGGCTTCATTCCTTTTTAGGTAGATTTGGAAATAATTATATAAATATTAGAAGAAAGTTGAAAGAAATTTTGAAAAACAGCCAGAAACCACTAATTTGGTGGGTTGAGATCCACAATCCAAATTACACTACATCCAAAAAAAATAATAATAATAAAAATAAAGGTAGGTACTGGTTTTTACCTCTCATAGATAGTGCCACATCCAAAAAAGAGTCAAAACTGGCAAGCATACCCCCAATAACCAGTAGAATTGCAACTAAACGAAGCAGATACCTAGATTCCCCATTATCTCATTCCTTAATACCCAATCACGAATTATTTGGCTTAAAAATAATTCAATACACCTCCAAAAGTCATGATTAAATACCATGAAAAATCACAAGGGAAGTCAAATCAATTGCAAATAAACGAAATTGTATACAAATTAATGTAGATGCATAACTAGTAACCACACACACGAAACACATATATTGCATATGTATATATATGTAGAGAGAGAAAATACCTGAATACGAGAGTATGGGCATGACGTGATTCTCTCTATTTCCTTTTTCTCGTGATCGATTTTATTTTATGTTCTCAAACTTCTCATAACTATGTTTCTTAGCCGCATTGTTTGTTTGTTTATTCTTTTGGCTCCCTCAACCACTTTTCTATTTACGAGAGGATCTAAATATTTCATAATATTTGATTTTCACGGGTTCTCTAGATGAAAAATTTAATGTAGTTTGGACAAGTTTATAAAGTATTTAGTTTAATAACATACATTAAAATAGTATTTAGTGATCGTGTAGAAGTCAATCTTTTTGTAACAATGTTGTGTAAGTATTTGTATTGTATAAAGTCGTGTGAGTTTTCTGTGAGAGGCGAAATGGAGCTCCCCTCACAATCCAAAATAACCCAGCCACCACACCTCCACACTACCGACGCCGGCGACCAATTGTCCGGTAGGCACCACATAACCGGCCTCACGCCACAAAACAGCCCCTCCAACCAAGCCATTCACACACAGCCGCAGTTTACTGTGGGAAACCCTAGCGCCGCCCAGCCGTTTCTGCCAGATCCGGCCACATTTCGAGGAAACGCGCCTTACCGGCGGCCTCAGCAGGGACCGACGACCCCTGTCAGTGTTCTGTCCCCCATACGAGCCGCTCCGACCCCACGTCTACTGGCGCGTGTGGTCCACGCGCCGCCGTTGAGAAACCTACAGCGGCAGCCTGCTGCTCCGAGATCAACCGGCTTGTTCGTTCCTCCATTTGATGAATTGATAGTACACAATCAGGGAAAAAATTTAGCGGATGTGCGTAGTATGGTATTCAATCATCATTTCAGAGTGAAGGCGAAGGACTTCGCAGTATCTATTAATGATTCTGGTACTGTTAAGTTGACAGAATGGGGTTCGAAGTTATCTGATTCAATCTTTATGGGAAGGTATGGTGCTATTTGGATGGTGAATATGGTAGACAGATTGAGGATGAGAAGTGAATTTGAGGAATGTGTTTTTAAGTTCAACGAGTCTTCAAGAGCTTTCTTGGCACAACAGTGTGTGAACTGTCGAGCCAGATATTTGATGATAGCACAATATGGGGAGAGGCGTCGGAAAGGAGTTGTCATGATACCAAAAGGTGCAAATGGAAAGGGATGGGCATCGGTCTTGCAGGTGTTTCAAGCAGTTGTTGACTCATTTGTTGCTAGGGATAAGGCCAAACGACAAACGGTGAATGAACAAAACAGACAAAGGATGACTTATGCAGAAATTACAGCAAACTCACAGACCTCGGAGAATGCCAACCAACGGATGCTACAGCAAAAGAAAAGGACAAATAAAGTCGGTGATAACGAAGATCGTGACATTTGTTTGAGTAGGACTGAAATAATGACCCGTGCGCAGGAGTTGAAAGGAGCATTAGATGAATTACTTAGACTGGTTGGAAGCAGGCCTGAAATAGAGCCCTTGAAATTGGTACGCTGTCACAAGTGTGGTGTTGAGTTGGATGAGGATCAAACCGGTGAAATACACATACCGGGATTGACTCATGAGGAACTACTATCAATTACAGAACATGCAAAGCAGGGAGGAGATGAACATTGTGATTCTCAGGTGAGGATGGAAGCAGGATACCATGAAAATGATGACGGGGTTGACTTTGTGGGGGTCAACAGAACTGAAATAGACATGGGGATTGCAGTTGAACGAGAAAAGGAACCGCTGTCTAAGGAATGGGAGTTTAGTATGGTGAACTTGGAGAAATTGTCAATAGACACTGTGAAAGAAAACAACTCTACACAGACGACATCAAGGATTACGACATCAAGGATTACGAACACTTATAATAGGAGGACAAAAGATAATGATATGGGGATCGAAAAAGCTTTGGTATTATGGGTAGGTGGTGCCAAGAAAGGAGAAAGTGATAGTGACATTTTACCAATGGTGGAAGAGAAAGAACGGTCCTTTGATCATCTCGAGGGCTATCAGGGTGAGGATACTTTAGGAGCTGATGTGTTAGAAGTTGGTTACCCACTTTCAAACTGGGTTCTACAAAAAATTCAGGAATTCAGTAAGTTGGTTGGCATGTCATGTGATGGGTATGAAAGTAGATTGTAACAATTATTCGAGGAGTTGGAGGCTAATAGGGGATAAGACATCAGTACACATGGAAGTAAATTAAGAAGAAAGGGTGATCGTGAACTTAAGAGGCTCGAATGGTCAGTAAACTATGCTGGTAAGGGTGGCGAGTCCAAGAAAGGAACAATGGGGAGGGGTTATGGAGTGTTAAAATGATGCCAAAACTCATTAGCTGGAACGTAAGGGGTCTCAATGAGGTTAGTAAAATGCTTGGTGTTCGTCATTTGCTAAGGGGATGGGGGGCAAATCTTGTTTGCCTACAAGAAACTAAGATGGAGTTTATCTCGAGGGCGGTGATTCGTAGTTTATGGGGAGAGAGATCAAGTAGGATATCAGTTTTTGGGGTCATCAGGGGTTTCAGGAGGCGTGTTGGTGATATGGGACACTAGAGTGCTTGAGATGAAGGAGATGAGTATAGGGGTGTCTCTATATTGATTTCTTTCAAAAATTGTAAGGATGGATTTCGGTGGATGTTCACAAGAGTTTATGGGCCTAATTCTGATGACAGTAGAGTGGGTTTATGGGATGAACTGACTGGAATGAGGGCTTGGTGGAATCTCCCTACATGTATTGGGGGTGATTTCAATGTGATTCGATTTCCTTCGGAGAGGTCGAGTGGTGGGAGTCTAACCAGGGCAATGGAGGAGTTCTCAGATTTTATTAGGGAGAATTTGTTGGTGGATTTATCCATGATTGGGGGAGATTATACCTGGTCATCCAATCGGGATCGACCCATTTTGTCTCGTACTGATAGGTTCTTGATTTGTGGGGAGTGGGAGTCTAAATATTCAGATGTCACTCAAAGAAGATTGGGGAGGGTATACTCGGATCATTTTCCTATTATGTTATCAGGGAATAGAAGGGGTGGTGGAAGAAGACCTTTCAGGTTTGAGAAGATGTGGTTGAAAGTAGAAGGTTTTAGGGAGTGAGTACAGACGTGGTGGACTTCCTATGAAATCAGTAGGTCTCCCTGTTTTGTATTGGATTAGAAGCTAAAGGTGTTTAAAGGGGACTTAAAGAAATGGAATGAGGAAGTTGTGGGCAATGTTAACTACAATAAAAATCAGTGTCTGTCAGAGATAGATGAATTGGATAGGCGGGAGGAGAGTCAGGGGTTGACTGGAGAGGAAAATGAGAGACATAGAGTATTAAAGGAAGAGATGGAGAGGTTGGTGGAGATGGAGGAGATTAATTGGCGACATAAATCTAGAGTTACTTGGTTGAAAGAGGGGGATAAATGCACTAAATTCTTCCATAGGGTCGCCAATTCTAATAGGAGGAATAACTCCATCACAGTTTTGGAGGTGGACGGCGTTACTTATGAGGAACCACAGGGTGAATTTTTATCAGAACCTCTATCAGGAGTAATTTGAATGGAGGCCAGAATTGGAGGGATTGCACTTTTCTACAATCACTGAGGATGATGCCCGATGGATGGAGAGACCATTTGGGGAGGATGAAATTAAGGAGGTTGTTTTCAGCATGAACGATGATAAGGCTCCGGGAACCGGACGGTTTCTCGTTCTCATTCTACAAAGCGTGCTGGGATGTGGTTCGACCGGACATTGTGAATACTTTATCTTATTTTTTTGAACATGGCAGATTCCAGAGAAGTTCTAACGCCATATTTATTGTCCTCATCCCTAAGAAACCTGGAGCGACTGATATTAAGGACTTTTGCCCCGTTAGCCTTGTCAGCGGGGTGTATAAGATTATTTCGAAAGTCCTGGCAAACAGATTAAAGGAGGTGCTGGGAAAAATAGTGTCCAAGTTTCAGAATGCATTTGTAAAATGGAGTCAGATTTTGGACTCTGTGCTTGTAGCGAATGAATGCATAGATTCAAGAATGCGCCTAAGGGCCCCAGGGATGTTTTGTAAGCTAGATATTCAGAAGGCTTACGATCATGTGAATTGGGGTTTCTTGTTGTATATGTTCAGGCGCTGTGGCTTTGGAGATAAATGGTGTAAATGGATTCAATTCTGTATTTCTACTGTTTCATTCTCAGTTTTGGTCAACGGAACACCTGAGGGTTATTTCCGGATCAGTAGAAGCTCGAGATAAGGGGATCCATTTTCCTCATTGTTATTTGTCATTGTGATGGAGGCTCTCAGTAGGATGATTGAAAGAGCCGTGAGAGCGGGTTTGATAAGGGGTTTTTTGGTTAACCAATTGTAGGTGTCTCATCTGTTATTTGCAGATGACACGTTGATCTTATGCGATGCAGATGTTGAACAATTCAAGAACTTGCACCGTCTGCTCTTATGTTTTGAAGCAGTGTCTGGTTTGAAAATCAATTTGGAGAAGTCTGAGGCTATTCCAGTTGGGGAGGTCAATAATGTCGAGGAGCTGGCTGATATATTGGGTTGTAAGGTTGTACAGTTGCCGATGTCATATCTAGGACTCCCATTAGGGGCACAATTTAAAAGTACCCATATCTGGAATGGTATTGTGGAAAGGATGGAGAGAATGTTAGCGGGGTGGAAGCGTATGTACCTTTCTAAGGGAGGTAGACTTACTCTCATTAAATCCACTCTCTCCAATCTCCCTACTTACTTTTTGTCATTGTTCCCCATTCCGATTGCAGTAGCAAAGAGATTAGAGAGGTATCAAAGAGAATTTCTATGGGCAGGGTTGGGAGAGGAGACGAGACTCCATTTGGTCAATTGGGGAGTTGTTTGTTTGTCGATGAAGATAGGGGGTCTTGGGGTGAGGAGCCTTGTGTTGTTCAATAAAGCCTTATTAGGCAAGTGGTTGTGGCACTTTGGAGTGGAGAGCGAAAGCTTCTAGAGAGAAATAATTGGGGCGAAGTATGGTGTGATGGAGGAGGGATGGTGTACATTTGAGGATCGTGGTTCTTATGGGATGAGCTTGTGAAAGTATATCCGACGGGGATGGATTGCTTTTTTGGACAAACTGAAGTTTGTGGTTGGAAATGGTAATGAGATTAAATTTTGGGATGATTGTTGGTGCGGAGATCAACCGCTGAAGGAGAGATTCCCTTCCTTGCATCGCATTGCCTCAGTGTCCACTGCTATGGTCAGTGATCTCTTAGACATTCATAATGGGAGTTATAGCTGGAATATTACTTTTGGGAGGGATCTTCAGGATTGGGAATTGGAAGATTATTCGCTATTTGTGACCATTTTACATGAGACCCAAATTTATGTTGGAGAGAGGGATTGCATCAGGTGGAGAACAGCACAGAATGTCATTTTTTCAGTTCGTTCGTACTTTGGTTCCCTCATGGGATGTGTGAATAATTCATTCCCCTGGAAGTTGGTGTGGTAGTGTAAATTGCCTCCTCGGGTGGCATTCCTATTGTGGACAGTTGTGAGGGGACATGTCTCAACGGTGGATAATCTTTGTCGTAAAGGCTTTTACGCAACCGAGTGGTGTTATATGTGCAAGAAGGATGGGGAGACGATCGATCATTTGTTCATTTATTGTGATGGTGTACGTTGAATTTGGAACAGTATACTCAGTTCACAATCTATGGATTGGGTGATGCCTCGTCGTATAGAGGACGCGATACGGGCATGGCGTAGAAAACTTCGGGATAAGGATAGCAAACTAGCATGGCACCTTATCCCGGGCTGCATTGTATGGTGCGTGTGGAGAGAAAGGAACAACCGTTACTTCGAAGACCAGACAAAGACAAGAGAGCAGATAAGAGAAACATTTTACTTTACTTTGTATTCTTGGTTTAATGTTGTGGCTAGAAATCCTGTAGATGGGTTGCCTAATTTCATGTTTTCCTTAATGGCTTAAAGTGATTGTACACCCCCCGTGTATTCTCTTTTAAGTAATAAAATTATTTGATTACCTATTAAAAAAAAAAAGTATTTGTATTGTATATGATTAGAAATTTTGTTACATAATTCTGAATTGATAGACGTATAGATTTTTTTGCAGCTTTTAAAAATTTTATATGATCGACATACCTATTGCAGAAGAGAACAAACAAGTAAAGAATGTTAAATAATATGTCATGCTATATCAAATTATATAAACTACAATCGTTATCTCTAGAGCATAATTGATGTGAATATATAGTGCACAATCAATCTTGTAACCTGTTCTTGAAAACACGAGGTTTATGCACATCTTGATTATTAATTAAAAAAAGCAAGCAAATTTGACTCGAAATAAAAAAATAAAAAAAATCACCGAGATTGAAAACAATATTAGCGTATAATAAACATTACCATGATGTATAAGAGTAACAATACTGAACCTCTTTTGAGATGAAGTCAAAGATAGGCACGATTCAATATATTGCTAATTGGCAAAGCAACGAATGACTTGATTTTGACCCCCTTCCTCTTTCATTGTCAAGATTTATGTGGCCTCAACTGGAGTCATTAACACAAGTTAAGATTGTTCATTTATTAAAATGAAAAAAAAAAAAAAAAACAGTTTGATTTCTCCCAATTCAACAATTAGCAAACAAAAGTGGCAAAGTTTTCCATGGGAGTCGATTATTGAATTCTTATGTACTTCAAAGCTTGTTTGCCTTTCATCATAATTTTTTTAAAGGTCAAAGTCAAATTTTAATTTTCATAACACATTTTTGTAGAATCGACAACTACTACTCACTTATCCACCATTCATTTCTATTATATTATAGTTTCAACATTTCGTAATGAAATCCGAACAAGACCATGATTCCAACTACCTTGTAGTGAATGATCATTCACACCCTAAATGAGTTAAGTGTCTTTTTACCAGGAGAGAATATTGAAACGATATTCGAGAGATTGGACGAATGAGTGAGCCAATTATCAAAGTTTTATTTCAATCAAATTTTAATTGACAATCTTGAATCTCTTAATAGCTTCAACCGGGAAACAAGTCATAGTTACCGATTGAAAATAAATATATTTATTTTCAAAATTTACTTTTGCTACTTATACGTAAACATGGCAAACAGGCTTAGCAGAAAATAAAAAGGTAAGGTCAACAAATTTGAAATGGTTCAAAATTTCATACATGACTTTCACATTTTACTAAAATTACTTAGTGATCGATGTCAAACTATAGGGTCAACTTAGGAGAAAACAAATATTAAGGTTCTCCCCCGTTTGATCCCCATTAAATTCAATTACATTACGTTCTATTTTTCTCTCTCCTATTTTCAATCACACAATCTTCCATAAAATAATATTACACGTAAATCGAAATATTTTCTTTCTTTTTTAACCACTCATTTTTTTTAAAAATACTACTCCCCCCATTTTCATTTTCAAGTAATGGGGGTCAAACGGGGTCTCATGTAGTGTGACAAGGGTTTGAGTTCAAACACGGGGGGCCAAATGCTTGGCATGACCAGGCCGTGCCCCACGGACGATAGGTCATGACAATAATTGCATCAAGTCTAGCTACTAAAACAATTTTCAAGGATCGAGCTAGGCTATGGGCCTCGAAACCAGGTTATGACGAGCGAGTTGAGAAATATAAGATAGCATCAATATTGCTAACAATCATTGAATACTCAATATACTAACAAAAAACAAATTTGTAATGCTGCAGCCTGTCCTTAAGAGTGTGTGTGCACTATATATAAAACTTGAGAACCTAATAATTTGAATTTAGGGTTCGTTTGATTGCAATAATGAAATTTGAGTGGAAAGAAAACGTATTTCAAAAAATTGAATTACTTGAAACTTGTTTTTTTGGGAATTGTTAATTAAATTGTTTAATTGATATAATTTTTCACCTAAAAAATGTTGAAATTTCTATCTTTTGATGTTCATTTGATTTTGTTTTTCATGAAAATTGTCAATTAAAGTAATAGAATTTATTACAATTGATGGTAGAATTTGTACCAATTGCCAAAAAAAATAATAAAGCGTGGCGTGGGATTGGGGTTGGGGGGGGACGAAAATGAATTGCCAAGGAAATTATTGCGGGGGAAGGAAAATAAATTGTCAAGGAAATTATTGCAATCAAATAAGCCCTTACTTTTTGTAAGACAACTTGAAATTCTGGCTCTCTTATTCTAAGAATTCCTCAACCTATATATTACAACAATAATGAAATGATATGTTGAAATTACTCACTTTTTCGACACAACAAATAAATAAAAATAAATGTAGGCTCGTTCTTAGGTCGGAGCTGGCTAGAATCGGCCCATTACCACACTGAGGCATAGAAAGTTTATCAGAAGAAACAAATGTGCAAATCATGGAGTGAACAGAAATTAGATAAGATTACCCCTCAAAGATCACATGGCCCGTAGAAAACTGCAATGGAATAATATGAATTTATGTGTATATACTAAAAGAAAGAAACCAAAGGAGCAACCTCCTTTATTTACAATTGAATCAGACGCCTTCAAAACTTTACTTCTAATTATACTGGAAAAAAAATGAC